CGAAGCCTGCAGAGGGCACGAGCGCACGTAACACCTCAGGTTCCACAAGTTCAGTTTTTTTGTTTTTTGTGGCCCGTGTGTCACATGAGTCACATGTAGGTGCACTTCGAAACCAGAAACACAAAAGAACATCCACGTCAGACCCAGAGCGGACAACTCCCTTACATTCTGCTGTTTGAAGAAGACGTGACTTTAAATGCCCAGATTTGGATGAAGGGCTCACCTGGCAATTCTATGCAGCCAATGGAACCATAATACGATTGACCAGCTTTCGAGCGACCTGGCCAGGTGTGGGGAGGGTTATACGTGCGGGTGCCCTAGAACACTGCTGGACGCTTTTCCAAGAAGCTGCCTCTTGCAGATTCCTGAACTGCAGCACGTCTCTCACAATGTGCAATCAAATGATTGGTGTGCCAGTGAAACATTAGCCAAGTCAAAGGGTGCTTGTTGACGTCCTATAGATGTCACAGATGTCACACAACTGGGCTCAATGGACTTGCAAATAAAGTTGGCGCGCAAAGTGTGCAAATCATGCTGGAACTACAATGCCACGAGCTTGAGGTAAAATGATGTTCATCGCGCGAAGACTCTGTTCTTGACACACTTCCTTGGTCCGTTTTGCAGAAAGCAGCAGGTCACGCAATAAGATCAAGGCACGTGCTTAGGGATTCGTCAATGGGACTGCATGGGTCTGAGCCTGTTTGAAGGTCAAACCCCTCCATCCTTCCTATGTCTGGAAATCATAATGGTGCACATTACGCACTGGCCAACTCAATGCCACCCCAAATCACTGAAGGCAGCAAAAGCGCGCTTGTGGTAGTAACAAGAAGCTAGTAGTAACAAGTGCCTTACTAGTAGTAACAAGAAGCTAGTAGTAGTTTGAACTTGACAGCAGTGAGCGAATGCCCTCAACAGCAACATATCCCAACACATCGTCTCTCGCTGCCCTGCGCCCCTTTTCCAAGACACTCGATCTTCGGCTCATCGTCGTGGTGCAACGAACGAAAAGGGGGAAGGCAACCCCGGCACAATGCACATGCACAGCAACGAAAGGAAGGATGAAACCACAGTCACGCAAAAGGAAACATGCAAAGGGCTCGAGCCTGCAGAAAATGGCATGCGGAAAGCATACATATCATGATGGCATCACTATGCAACACCTTTCGACTGTAGTAACAAGTGCCTTACTAGTAGTAACAAGAAGCTAGTAGTAACAAGTGCTCTTGCATGACCCCAATTACAGTAGCTCCAAGTCACTCCAAACAACAGAACTGGCGCCCAGCACCCAGGCACATTCCAACCAGGGGTATTTCAGATTGATGTCGCAAACACCACACTGCCGAGATTCAACCCAAACGTCTGCAGTCACTTGCGAATCATTGGGCATTGCCGCGACTGCCAACCTGAAGACAGCTCCGCGCAAACTAATATATAGGGTGCACATACTGGACTACAGCCTGTGTAAAGGAAGAACATACCACTCTAGGTGGACGCAAAGGGAAATGAGCAGAGTTCAATCCCTTTGCGTCGACGTGGGTGTAGTATAGTGATGCTTTGTCCTTGTTATACATATATATATATATACCTTGTTATCCCGTTGCCTCTACCGACTCGTCCTTCCATTTGTTTCTTATTCAGTTACTCCATGTTACTCAACCGTTACTCGTCGCTTTCCAAGGAGCAAGGCTGAGATGGCTTTGAGGTCTGAGAGGTTCCCATTCTCCGAGGTGCTGGCAACCAAGATGTCTTGTGCCATGGGTGCGCTCACACGCAAGAGCTCGGAGATGTCTGTGGGGTTCCCCTGCTTGTAGCCTAAAGAGCTCAGGCGGTCACGCCACACAGAAGCTAGTGACGCCAGTAGAGATCATGGAATAAAACGCCGGTACTGCGGTTGATACAGGCAGTAATAGATCTTTGAGCGCAATTTTCTTTGAACAAAGTACTTGCTCCAAATAGCACGGATGGACAGGTTGAAGTTTGTTCCATTAGCTTGGCATATTTCATCAGACTATCAGGACATATCAATTGGCAGCTTCTTTCCAAAATCTTGGCTGAATGACGCCATTATGGGGCAGTGGGCTACATTACATCCAAATCCGGGACGAGGAACGCACGATAGGAAAGAAAAGGGTTCCAATCCGCTGGAGAAGTGGGTCCGCCAAACAATGCACCTTCACCTGGCAAGTTCGAGCAGCATGGATGCTTGAGCCAACATGGCGTGACAGCTGAAAATATGTAACACAATTGGCTTGACAATTGGTTTGAATTCCATCTATATATTCGCCATGAAAAACTCCATGAAACTTAGGTCATCCGAAGGACCGAAGGGAGGCAAGAGTACTACTTAGACTTAGACAAAACAAAGGACCGTAAAAAATTGGTTCATTGCACCCAAACAATCTCACAAACCTTACGGACCTCACCCGTTCCACCCTTCTCCACCCTTCCTTCGATATGTTCAAACAGTAACTGTCCCATGTCACACTCTGATGGCACAGTTGGTCTCAACCCTCCGAACCGTCATCTCACGACATCTCACGACTCTGCCTCATCAGCCATCTGCTGCTCTGGCATGTCTGCGAGGATAACGATTTGCCGCCTGTGTCCAACTTTGGGATGTGTTCTTCTTTCTTTTGGAGGGAGGCCGTAAAGAGACCAGGGGAGTAGTGAGTAGGCTAGCAGAAGTAAGTAGTAACTTAGCAAGGAAGCTAATTGCTCTGCCCAAAGTGCTGAGGTACCTTGGACCCAGGTGCGATCTTAGCGGGCTGAAAATCGGAAAGCATGTTGTACCGAGCTTTCTAGAGAGAACGTGCAGAGGAACACATGAAGCAACCATTTTCAGAAGTAAATATATAAGCTTGGAAGGAACTGCTAGACAGTTCTAATTATGCTTCTTTTAAGACAACTTGCTGTTTGGTGTTCTCCAGTTGGATAAAGCAGGCTGGCCATAGTGTGTGGCCGCACCGGCGAACCCATGCGAACCCTGTCTGGGTGTCTCCTGCACCCGCACCCGTCCTTGCTTTAGGCCATCGCTCTTAGGTTGGAGGCCATCGCTAGCAGGGTGGAGGCCAATGCTAGTAGGCTGGAGGCCATTCCTATGAGGTAGTGCCAGGCATCCACCAAGCCTGTGTGCGGTTGCTTTCCTGCTCTTGTCATTCTCTTACTTGTCTTGTCCGCATGGTGTCGTCCTGTTGTCCTCCTAGGCAAAGGTTGTTCGGGTTGTGGTCTTGCTGATGAAGCTGTTTCGGGTCTGTCATCACAATGTAGGACCCACCACCACTGGCCGATGTCATGCGCACAAAAGAACTGCACACTAGATATTGATCAAAACCTTACGCCTTAAGTGAATCCAGTTGCACCTTTCAACATGAGCAGTTTTGGGGAACCTCTAGGGACATGGGGAATCCTCAAGGCAAACAAGTTGGCCCACTGTGCGCCTCCGACAGCAACCGCAACGACGCTGTGGACGCGATGCGATGGAGGTAAGCCTGATTCTGGTTTCTGTCAGGCTCTGGAGGTTGTGACTGGGATTACGTCAAGCTTATGCAGCTGCTCCAACAAAGTCTGCGCTGGGTGTGACCTAGCAGGTTTTAAAATGTTGGGTTGACCACACTACGGCAGTCTCATCACACCTCATCTGAAATGAACATTGCACATTCTGTGATACCTCATGTGCATTGAAATTCAAGGCTCACACCAAACAGAGCTTAGCTTAGAAGAAGGCGTGCCAATTATATATATAGATGCAGGTAAGCAAGAATACAGCAGATGTTTGCTTTGCGTTTGCGCTCAGTCACTAAGTATACCTGCTCACAAGCTACAATTGCAAACATTTCTCCCCACATTGGTCCTTCGCCCACGTACATAACATAATCTTAAAATGTCTTATATACAAACATAAAGTACAGTAGGTTGAGTGGAACGTTCCAAGCCCATCCAAGAATGGGCGGGTCACAGTTCATCCACCAGGAGCAATGTCTTGTCGCCCCAGCCCAGGATGAGCCAATGCCCATGCGCTGGCACACTGCTGAAGCGCATGCGACAGTCCTGAGTGTGAACTGCTTGCCACTCGAAGACCGACAAATAAGTCTAGTAAGTGGCTGTGAACTGAGCTGGTTGCCTCTCATGCCAACACCAAGTGTCATCCAACACCTCGCGGATCAGGTCCACCACCATGCCCAACAACGTGAGGCAATAGACGAACCCGACCTTGGTGGCGGGCGCTGACAACTAAGACCCCTAAAAGGGAAACAAAGGACACAAATTGAATGGGGTCCCAGCAAACGCATTCTTTTTCCTTACACCATACACTGCAGCAAAGATCAATTGAAGGTAGATTGCGACTTACCTTGTGATTCTTCCGAACTTCTCACAGAAATGTTTGGAAACCAATGAACTGTCTGGATTTGAGGTGAAGCATCTACAATGCAAACAAGCTGCCAACGAAATCACCTGAGCTCTGTCCGAGGCCCAGACCGACAAGCCACTTTTGAGGGGATCAACTTTCTAAGCCGCAACTGGTAAGAAGAACACCAAAGCCTACTGCATGGGATGCATCGGATCTGCGACAAGTGTATATAAGTACAAGTGCTAGTAAGACTCAGCCCCAGAGTTGTCTACTTTCATGGTTATTAAATATATTTAATTATATGTGCTTGAACTTGAACAAGCCTTCTCCCGCTGTCTTTCGCACCTCATAGCAATGTAGGTGGCAAGTTCAAGCTGCAAACCAGAAAGTGGGCTGCCAAAGTTAAACCCCTTAGTAGCCCTTAAAGAAGAGTCCTTTTCCGCTGCTGTCTGAGGAACAACGCTCACGATTTTGATGGTCGGACGCTCATTCGCTGCCAGCCCTGTTTGCGTGCCAATATCAATGAGCAAGGTGTAGCCTCAGCTTGTGGTGCAAAAGGTGCTGGTGAAACCATGGTGAAACCATGGGCTGAGAGACTTTCGCAGGTTGTCCATTTTCTTCATTGCTCACGATGTCTTATTCCATCAAACGTCACCAATCAGGGAGTCAAAATAGTGCCGTTTTGATAACTGTGCATCTTTTCCACGTGCATCGAGCGTCTTATCCACCAGCTATCATTCCAAGTCGTGCTGAACTCATCATTGCCCCCAGAAAGCCTCCAAAGAACCTTGGATGCTAAGACCTGCTATCATGAGCACACGTTCACAGGTTCCAATTCTCGAGAAGAACTTCCTTCAATGATGTTCTGAAGGCGGTCGAAAAAAGGGACACCTGCCTTGGACTGCACCATGCCATGCCACTACTGACAAGATCAGCTCTAGCAGCATGATGGTACGAGCTATGGCTGTGTTTGACCGAGACTTGCAGAAGGCGTGAATGTGAGATTGTGTATTGGTCAAGGCTACATCGTGCCATGCCGAGCAAAAACCGGCCAAGGCACTGTTCCACTACACTGCAAGAAGACGAAAAGGCAAAGAACGAGAACCCATTGGCCAAATGTGGTGCCAATGACCTCGCCATCTCCAAAGCAGCCCAAATTCACAGACTTTGGAAGACACATAGTGCAGGGAAAATGGCGGTGGTTTCTTGATAAAGCTTTCGGTTTCTCAGTATGAGATTGTCAGTTACCTACCTGTCCATCCTTCATCAATGACAATGGAAGCGGCGACCATTTGCCTCAGGATGTCTAAGCTCGGAACGTTGTGAAGCGGTACTCGCCTGCATCCGGCTCAATTGTACATCTCAATCGGCAAGCGGAATATAGTTGAACAGAGTACTCCAAGTACCCCATGCGGCACCGTGCGGTGCCTATGTGACTGTGACAGGCAACCTTCCTGGCTATGGGGCTCGTACATACTGCATACCGCATCATGTTGTCCTCCATTCTGCTCATTACTTATTGTGAATCTCCTCAGGCTACGCTCACACCATCAGGCCCCC